CTAAACCCTTTCATGCAAATAACAAATCCTTTTTTATTTTTCTTTCAATCGACTCAAAGATGAAAGGGTAAGCAACCATCCCAAAATAAAATTTTCTTCTTAAGTTTTCTTTGTGTTGAATTCCTAGTCATTATGTCACTTTACCATTTAGTTTCCTTTATCTAGTATTTATTGTTAATATGTTATTCCGAATTATTGAAACTAAATAAAAAAAATTCGGAAAAAAACTAGTGCAAAAGTATTGACTTTCAAAATGGGACAATTCCGGTCCCTTTTATCCAGCTTATGGAAGTGACGTTTCTTAATCTACAATAAAGAAAGAATTAGGTCAAGCAATCTTGACAGCGAGCCTGAACTGAAATGAACTCTTAAGGAATTTTCTAATACTAGTAAATGTGGGTTGGAATTACGTTCCTGAAGACGTTTAATTCTCTAATACTAGTGATATTTGTTGCTAGAAAGCTAGGACATAGGTTGAAAATGATCGTTTATTATTTGCAATTGACAGGTTATTAGGCTTACATCAAGCAATCAATCGCTTTTCCGAAGCAATTTTTCCACCACGGAGTCCCTTGATTACTAATTTCAGATTTAATTAATGTCAAAAATTACATTGAGCAAATGTCTTGGAAACTTCTCGTTCTTTGTAAAGTTATTTATTTAAACGGTAAAGTTATTCGTTGTTTTACATAATTCTTGTTGACTTGACCCACGCATAATGTGTATTTGAAAACAAAAGATCAAAACCTAATGATTGGTAACACGCCTTCATCTTGTCGTAGGACAAAGTCGGTTATTCACCGTAAGTCATTTATCACGCCGTTGTTCAAACTGTTTATAATGTAAATGGACTCGAGCTTTGTAAGAGCAGGCCTTGACCGAATACCATCGCAAAGTAACTGAACAGAGTTTTTGGTTCAACACAAAAAGCCTATTGACCGGACATTCAAGTTATAAAATTAGTCTAATCTAGGGGATATCAGCTTATTACTGTGTTCCATATTTCCATTTTATACTATCCTTAATCATCTCCTAGCAAAAGCCTAAATGATATTTATCCGACTTTAATAAATCTCATGATCGTATCAATTCAAAAGCTAAAGCAAATCCCCCGTTTATATATTGTCCTTGTTTCATTTGGAAAGTAATAGTAATTTATAATTTAGAAGAAAAAACATTGCATATTTACAATAAATATATTTTCTTTTTATCGACTAAACTTTGATTAAGTTTCCACTAATATTAGTCTACGTTTAAGAATGTTACTTGTCGGGCCTTGAATTTGAAAGGGTCTTTATTACTTTGGTGGCGGCGTAGGAACACAAAACAGCACCGGACTATATGACCATCAATCAAACTGTCTATCCAGATATTTACTTTAGCTTACCTAAACTATAACATTGCTACGTTATGAATATTTCATTTCAATGATTCGATCCATCTTTCTATTTTCTTATGTTGCTACAAACTAAACGATGTACAAATTGTACCTAAAAATAGCATTCAATCATCATTTCTTTTCTCACTAAAATTGGTTGATGTTTTCCTCAAATGGACTTTCCCAACTTGACACATCTACATTGACACAATTTTTTATCTTCCTTCAAAAAACACTATTTAAATTATACTTTCTCGTCAAAAACAGGATTCAATGAAGCTGATTCTAGTAGTTCCACCAAAACTAGCGATAGGCGAATATAATCAAAGTACCTTTGCTATACCTCCACCTTTTGTGGTCTTATACCACCTTAGTCTAGACTTAGACGTCCTGCTGTTGACTCTCACGTATCATTATGGGTACCTGAGTATAACACGGCATTAAAATAAATACTCGTAACACAAAATTAACTACCAGAGACAATTGGTTCATTAATACATCATTGTACTAATTACAAAATGGGAGGATAAAGAATCCAGGTGTGTTTCTTGTCGACGCTTTGGATAAAGATGGATGACTTTGTTAATCGACTACGATGGTTTCACAAAAAATAAGCACTTTTTCAACAGTAATTAACGTGCCCTTACTCACCCTTGTATTATGGAATTTTCCGATTGAATGATTTAAGGGATGAAGCGGAAGAAAGATTTAAAAGTGTAATTGGGTCACAACCTAATTAGCTTGCCCGACATTGACAAGTATCTTATAGATGTCACCGACAGATTATGAATTCAGTCATCCTATTATCGAACTTTTTATATTATAAACTGAATATCAAAAATCAGTCTCGGATTTTTTGTGTTATTAATTTAAAATTTTAATTAACAATTAAGAGTATGAGTTAGGTTGAACATGTCATAAAGTAAACGTCAAAAGCATTTTAACAAACTAAAAATAGACGTATTAATAGATTTTTTTACGAATCGTTCGCTCACATGTCCGGACAACTTTACCCCTAGGTAGTCGGATTTCATACTACCAAGTTAAAAATCAGTCGGTGACATAGATGTTAAATTGATTACACCATCGGGGATTTGCTTAACGACTTCCTCGGAAGGAGACGACGGTGAAGTGATATCTTTTCCAACGGCTGTTTACGAATGATTGACACTTCTCAATTCATTGTTTCAGTATTGCTTTATTTGATTTTTAAAAAAATTACACTGTTTTATGTTAGTTTTGGGCGTAGTGCTTACACTTTTCTATACAAGAATATGGCCAAAGAGCAAGCAGTTGATAATGCTATAAAGCGAAGTGACGATTGCGCATGGACTTTTACAAGAAGTTTAAGTATTGCAGATCCGTTGCTTACCTTTCATAGACTAAAGACAAGATGTAATAGTAATTTACAGCAATGGATTGGAATAAATTGCCGGTTTCAGTGTTTCCGTCCAGCTATAACATATTTACCAAACTAGTGAATACCATCCTCCGATCACATCGTCATCATCAGCTCGCTATACTTCCCCACCGAGGGGCTCGGAGGATACCCTTAGTTAAGGGTGATTAGGCCATAGTCAACCACACTGGCCCAGTGCGGGTTAGTTGACTTCACACATATCTTGGAATTTCTTCTCAGATATGTGCAGGATGCATCACGATGTTTTCCTTCACCGTAAGAACGTCGGATAAATGTACATATGTAAATCAGAAATCGAAAAACATATTGGTACATGGCGGGATTCGAACCCAGGACCTGCAGATTGCAAGACACGTCCTTGACCTCTGAGCTACCGACGCACCACATAGTCACTTACTATCAAGTTGGTTTTTGGCCATGCACTGGTTTATTCAATAAAAAAAATGATTTAAAGTTCATCGTTACTTTATTCCAATCCAAAGTAATTCTAAAACTTACATCACTAAAATGATTCTAAGTTATGACTCACATTAATTTCTCGTATTCTTAGAATATCTTCCATTAGTGGGCCGAGTGCCAGAAGTTAAACCATTATCACATAATGATCATGATATATTATGTTAACGACGCACTAGAGAGATGCTAAGTTACGTAACAGCTGATTCCGGTTTGCATGGGGACCATTACACAGCTACCTACAAGCTGTCTTTACTCGCCAACTTAGTTACAACTTAAGTTTTGAACGACTTATGCACTGACAACTTACACATGCTACAAACTGAAAGTACTTCCTTCTCATAGTTCTGTTATAGCTTCTCAAGGGATTTATCTTTGTGCAAAACTGATTTTTTCTGGAGTTTGTACGTCAGTTCTCCTTTAAGTTAGTTTGAATCTCTAGAACGTCTCTGCCTATGTTCTTTGTCCATCTTGTTAAGGCATGCCTAATATGTGGTTACAAGTAATATTGATTTACTTTCCAATAAAATGATAATAGAATTACCTAACCGGTTATTGTTAATTGTTTTGGATATCTTACAGTCATATCTATGACGTCAAAGATTGGTTACTGTAAGTTCATTTTAAAAGATTCATGAATTTTTTAAATTATTTTAGTCGTAATATTATTGTAGATAGTAGTGTATCTCACTAATGTAAATGTTTAAATGAATTGAAGGATGGATGTTTGTTTAAAGGTATCGCCAGAACTCGATAAAATTTGGCATACATATAGAACATAATCTGGAAGAACACGGACTACCCATTAATTTTTTACTTAAGTCCGCGCAGACGGAGTCGCTGGCGGCAACTAGTAATTAATAAAAGCGTGTCTTCTGTATGGAACTTGATCCTGTTGTGTGGTAAGAGTGAAAAGCCTGTGCGTTAGCGCGTACTAGAAAGGCAATAAATAGAGCAAAACATAGAAAATACGAAATGTTATACCTACATATAATTATTACAAACTCATCATTGGATATTATTTCTTTACATTTTTATTACAATAATTTCATAAAAAGATAATTCGCTTCCACACAAAATCATTTAAAGATACTTAGCTATAACTTAATGTGTATTTCTTATTAAATCTACGCTAAGGGACTCTTAATAAGCACAGGTAACTTTCAGTGTAAAATTAAATATAATGGCTACACTAAAACATACTGTCCCAAATTAAATTGGAACCGTATTGATTGATTACATTTTTTTTCTTTCAGTTGAATTTTCGTGCCAGTGTTCATAAAAATAAAAACCAGAGTATTGTCCTTTTGTTCATAATAACATTGAAAGTGTAAATAGACTTGAATTTCGTAACATTGTATAAACGGTACAGCGAGGTTACTCATTCAAATAGCGGACGATTGTTACGTGATTATGGTAGCATCAAGCGTGACGGAGAAACCAGGCCGAAAACAAACTTGATTTGCTATAAACATAATAAAGCTTTTTATAATTATCTATATAAGTACATAACTTGAATGTGTGCCTGTGTTTGGAAATTGTAAGGGCCAAGATGCAAATTCTATGGTATAAAAAGTTTATTAATTTGTCACTAGGTGGCGTCACAATATTTTTAGGTTATTATTTTCCGTCTTAATAGTATGCGCAGAATATTTACGTAGTTAGTAGATATCTATTTTATAAAAGCTACATTTTTGATGACTTTAAATTTCTTACAATTTAAAACAATCTTCATTTATTTCTCAGAGAAAAAACAAAAGAGCAGTCATCATGGCGCTTCTGGCAGAAACGTCGACTGCTGGTCGCTCTCCTCGCGTTCTTCGGCTTTTTCAACTGCTATGCGCTGCGGGTCAACCTCTCCGTCGCAGTGGTCGCCATGACAGAACCCGTAGAAACGGAACTAGAGAACGGGACTATTATTTACGTGAGTTTATCCTTCAGATTGTCCAAAAGTTTTCTAGTTTTAAGACGTTTTATTACTATTAATAAAAGGCTCTCAACTGGTTTATTTGAATTACAAAATGTAATAACATTTGTCAACACATATTATGCGAGTACAAAAAACTTGTAAATATGGGGGAAACTGTATATTAAATCATATCTTAAGGTTTAGTGCTTCAAGAGACTATAAAAACTATAAAGTCCGTGCAATAGTCTTTTTATAAAAGAATTTAATAACTTCAAGATAATGTTATGGGAAAACCGTTTAATTAAAAAAGAAAAAATGGAAGGAAAAGAAAGATGTTTTCAACTGTTGAATTATACAATATAACTTTACGTAAGGTATGAATAAATATCACAACAATGTAATATAAACGTATAGGTGCCGGAGTTCGATTGGAGTTCCCAAACCAAAGGTCTGGTGCTGAGCTCATTCTTCTACGGTTACCTGGTGACGCAACTGCCAGGCGGCTGGCTCGCGGCTAAGATCGGAGGTAACAGGTTCGTTCCATTGCATAACTGACCAATACATTGTAGTTCATCACCCTATAGATAGATTTTCCCTTGACTGCCATAATTCTTATTCGATCTTGGAGATCGTTTAAAAAATAATTATTTTAATTGAGTATTTTGTATGAAGCAGAGTACACCGATAGATCATTTGATTTTTATAATAGGTTAATTTCAACTAAACGCCGAGGATAAGCAAAAATGAATCCAGATCGTATAATATATTGATTTGGGAAAATAGTAATGTAAAATAAGATAACATTAGATTTTATTTTTTGATTAGGCAATGATAAAAGTTTTCCAATATTCCCTAAGCTTTAAAACTTTGTTGTAATTATCGTAAAAACACTCAATTTTTTTATTTACTCCTAGGGTGTTCGCAATCGGTATCGGCGCGACGTCTCTGCTGACCCTGTTTACGCCGCCACTCGCACACACCAGCACTGCGCTTTTAATCGCCGTTAGAATCGTAGAGGGACTTTTTGAGGTTATTATTTTTTTATTTTGTAATCTCCACTGCTTTCTGCCTTCCACTGCGGAACCGCTCATAAAAAGCATTATTATGCCATGTATTGTCTTTCTTAAAAAATCTTGAATTGTGTTACATATTGCAAATTATTTGAAACATACTGTATGTATCTTCGTTCCATTATAACTTATAGTCAGGCGAGGGAACCTTCTTTTTTTTCCTAAATCAATTACTCAGTAATTAGTACTTATAAAATTTATCAGGGTGTGACATACCCGTGTATCCACGCGGTGTGGTCGCGGTGGGCGCCGGCTTCTGAGCGTGCGCGGCTGGCCACCTTCGCGTTCAGTGGCAGCTACGCCGGCACCGTCGTCTCTATGCCGCTCTGTTCTCTGCTCGCGCACTACACCGGCTGGCCGGGGATATTCTACGTCTTTGGTGAGATATACAGGATGTGACATGTACATATACTTAGTAGGATTTTGCATACAAAAACACAAGTATATTACTTCTAGTTAAAAGCTATAAATCTCGGTCAAATAAACCAAATATGTGTAATACAAAGCTGCGTCTTGTTTACTCTCTGTTTTATGAACATGGAGCAATCATTGTTTGCAAAGATTCAGTTATCTCTTAATGATAACATCTGGTAAATGAGTAATTCGGTGATAAAATTTCTTTTTATTGTACAAAGCAAACGAAGAAGACCCAAGTAGTATTACTACTATGTTACATCTATATATCTTAAATAATTATGAACTAAATTATCATAAAATATGTAACTAGAGTTAGGATGAAAATCCGACACTGTGCCGGTGTACTGGCGCAACACTAGCCTTCCTAAAATATCAACGTTTATGTCCCCTCACTAATCATTCTTACAGTTGAATTTGTAACGAAAGCGCACTATTCGCGCCAAAGGATTCCAATTAATAATGTCTAAAACTATAAAGGAATAATGAGCAGAGAACGTGAGACGGAAGGAGGAATTAAGTTCTTAAAATGAGTTCAGCCGTTCCTGGGATTACGAGGTACAAATAACCCGGCGAACAGACATACAGACAAATAAAATATATTAAAAATTGGTTTCCCGTTTTCACCAATGCAAATACGCTAGGAGTACAAAATATGATTTTCCGATCTTACATATGTACATACACTCCTATTTTATTAATATGTATAGAGAGATAATGAGTGTTTAGACCTCTTAACTGCAATTTTCAGGTATCCTGGGTCTAGTATGGACGACAATATGGTGGTTGGTCGTTAAGGAATCGCCGGAAAAGGATCCGCATATAACCGCGGCAGAACTTAAATATATACAGGTAAATAATAAAATATCAGTGTGCAAACAGCCTAAGTTACTAACTTAATATTTAACCTGTATTGTTCTTTAATTCCAGGAGTCCCGCGGAACTCAGACTGTGGAGGGGGCACAGTTGCGCCACCCCTGGTGCGCCATGCTCACCTCTCCGCCAGTCTGGGCTATTGTGGTCGCCCATTTCAGTGAAAACTGGGGCTTTTATACGCTTCTTACATTCCTACCCACATTTATGAAAGGTAAAGAAAATTTTGATATACCCCACTCTTTCAATATTTTTGGATCTACAATATATTCGGTCGCTTACGATATCAAGATCTTACTAATATTACAAATGCAAAAATTTGGATGTATGGATGGATTCTTGTTAGAAGGTTACTCCAGAACAGTTAAAAGGATATTTCTGAAATTTGGCGAGGATGTAGATGGAGAACACATAGGCTACTAAGTTTTATTTTAGCTAATTAAAAATTAATCTGACTTAAGTTATTAAGTTTTTGGTAAGATAAATAAATTTAAACTTGTTGGGTCTTTTTGGACTGTAAAATGCTATCCCTGAAAAGGCTACAAAAAGATATGCTCAGTACCCATGACATATTTTCACAACGTTGTCAATTATAGATGTAACTAAAAAACTTTTTGGTGTGTTCCAGACGTGTTCAAGTTCGAGACGTCGTCAGCTGGCTGGGTGTCTGCGCTGCCGTACCTCGCGATGGCGCTGGTGCTACAGGTGGCCGGCCACCTCTCCGACTGGCTGCTGCGCCGCGGCACCTTCTCCCGTACCAACATACGCAAGATCTTCAACTGCGGTGCCTTTCTATCGCAGGTCAGGTCTTTTTATAATTGTTACTAATCGGCCAGGGGGTCAAAACTAACCTTCAGCAATATTAATGTTTATTATTAATATCTCATATAAAGTGTCTAGAGTATGTAAATACAGACACTTTATATTACAGATATTACTATAGAGAAAAAATTTATTTAAATTCATTTACTACAAAAGTAAATTAAAAAATTTTCAATGTTTATGATGAAGAGTTCTTGGATGTTGTTTTATGAACGATATCAACAAGTAATAATAAAATACTTAATAATTACAGACAATCTTCATGGTTGCAGCGGCGTACTCAAGTAACGTGGTAGCTTGCGTTGTGTTTCTCACCATTGCTGTTGGTCTGGGAGGATTCGCTTGGTCAGGATTTAGGTAAACTGATAATTGTAGAAACATAAAAACAAACATATTACTAACAATTCCATGCAACTCTATTTAAGTTTTTGTGATGATATAAAAACTTTATATTATTATCTAATACATAATTTGAAATATATTTTTTTACACTTCTTTTCTTGTCTATATTAATTAAACATTTATATTGTATCAGTGTAAATCACTTGGACATCGCACCACCCCACGCGAGTGTGTTGATGGGTCTATCCAACACGGTGGCCACACTGCCAGGCATCATCAGCCCGCCGCTGGCAGGCGCCATCGTCACTGACAGGGTAATTCACACATTCTTTATTACTTGGACATTGTGACGTCACACAAGCCTGCTTATACTTGTCGGTCATAATGACCCGCCACCGGGTATTATCGGCCCGCCGTTACACGTTGTATTTTAGCAGTAGCTTTTTTTAGTATGTAACTTAAAGTCTTTTTTAACAGTGAATGTAATAATAATTTTCTTAAATTATTCAAACTTTCGTGAGACATTATACTAAACTGATATATAAACACGGCTAAACACTCACGTATATACGTCTGGTGGCGGCACCGACTAGTTTCGAGCCCATCGGGGGCCCTTCATCAGGATGAGTGGTGGAGTCAGCTCAGCGACGGGCCGCGGTAATACCAGTACCACTCATCCTGATGAAGGGCCCCCGATGGGCTCGAAACTAGTCGGTGCCGCCACCGGACGTATATACGTGAGTGTTTAGCCGTGTTTATATATCAGTTTAATAATTTTCTTGTAACACAACCTGATGGTGACCTGTTTTTTAAAGTTTTAATAAATTAATAATCATTGTAATTATTCCAGACAGCGGAACAATGGCGGATCGTATTCTTCATATCAAGCGCCATCTATCTAGTGGGAGCTATTATTTACGGTTGGCTTTGTTCCGCGGAACGTCAGCCTTGGGTTGCTGAATGCGAAGGCGCAAGCTTCAGCACAGATGGCGCCTCCGTCACCACCGCACGGGGCATAGACAACAAAGCCATGGACCACACGGAAATGTAAAACAACAGGCAACAAAAATCAAGACTAGATCATAGACAACAGACATGTAAAAATAGAACCATAGACCACAAACAACAAAAATCAACATGAAAGGTGTTTTACGGGACACTTTTCTACATTACGTTCGTACGCGAAAATATTTTTTAAATAGACAAATAAGTCCCTATTTTGAGCAAATTTATGTACATAGTGTAATCAGAATTAAACACTTTTAAAATTGACCATGAAAATTGTAGGATTGCCGCTGGAACGGTAAAATTGTAATAATTTAAATGTTGTTTCATTGTCTAATTCTATTAATAAACATTGATACTGGAATTTAGTTTCCATAGCTGCTTTAAAAATTACTCTTGCATTCTTATTTGTATTATTTGTAGAGTGGTTTAATCTCAAAGCTTGTTTTCTTAGCAAAATTTAGCCGAATCCAACTCAGATAGGTCTCGCCTATGGAATTTAAGCTCCTATAGGCACTGTATGTGACTAGACCATACTTAATATGTCGCCTTGACAATGCGAATAAAAAGTGACGCTGGAATTCAATACTGTAATCTCAAAAATGTATCATAGTTATCGGATTTAGTTGATGTGATATTTATTTGTAAGTTGAGTTGCGTTCAATGTGATTTGTTCATGAAGTATTTGTATATTTCTAAGTGTAATAAGAAATGTTAAATTAAATAATTGTGATTTTATTTTTTGGTGTCTTTATTTATCTCTCTTCCTTTATTTATTTGCAAATACAACTGTAACGAAATCCTTAATTCCACAATAGTATGTGAAATGGTGACGATAAAAGAAATGTTAAAATTAATAAACAGAAGCAATCTATTAAAGCAGACGGTGATTAAGATTAGCGCCATCTATAGTGACTATAAAATTTTACCAATTTGGAATAATTTTTGGTCTTTTACAAAATCTATCTACATTTTAATATTACCACCAGCTAATTTTAGTATAAAATGTTAACAAAAACATTTATATAGCTATTAAAAATGCAAAAAGGCTGGTCTAGTATAACAAAATTAACATTGCCATCTATGATCGAAAAGTGTAAAATAAGACTTGGAACTTTGTAGCAAGTAATTTTAAAAAATGAAACAAGAATAAATCAAATTTAACGCATTCTCTTGTTTATTTTATCTCGTAATAGTTCCGAAAAATCTAAAATAATGAATTCGAATTTCGACTGACGTAAAGGTTGAGTAAAACAAACATTATTTTTCTCAAATATATTTAACGCACCAAATATTTAAACTTAACAACACTTCTAATAGTTTTACTAAAGTTAAATAACTGAAACAATAATTATAAAACGCATTCAAGAATAGTTAAATTATTAAACGCCATATATTTTCAACTTTCATTAATTCAAAACTCTTCGATTGAAACTACGAGTAATTACTTTACTGTATTATGAAACGTTTACTTTAAAAATATTTTGAGTTCTAACAATACTTCCCGACATACTGCGAATATATAAATTGTGTCTGCAATAGTCCAACGCTTTGTATTTTTTTTTAAATTATTTGAATTTGGAGAAGTGCGAAACGACTTTTTAAAAAAAATACTTTAGAATATTTTGTTATGTGTTATTTAATTTTATTACGACATTATATTAAACTCATTGTTACATCTTTCTTACCTAATTTATTAAATAAACATTGTATGTTTTATCAGTATGAAATTTTTTAAATTCTTGTAATTAAACAATAATAGAAAGTTACGTTTTGACTCTCTTCAAAATAGAACACAAAAGTAAACTGAAGTATTGAAATTATTTTAACGTAAGCACCAACGGCAAAATATTTAGTGTAATTAATAACGGAGTAAGCTTATTTTATTAGATTCCCTAAACTGTATTTTTAAGCTTTAATTACGAATATTTTTTAAAAAAGGTACTGAATGTTTCGAAATCCACCAAATCAAAATGTGACGTCACAGCCCACACAAATGTTTGTCGGCAAAAGTATAAAAGAAGCCGACACTTTGTAACGCCGCTCTTTCGTCGATTGGGAATACGTTGATTGGCTGCTCTGCACGAATCCTGTTGATTTTTCAAATATGGTGGAACAAGGACAAGGAACATCGGCGCTGACTTCCAAGCTGCTGGAACTTATGCGGGTGACTGGATATCCTATTGAGCAGAGGAACGGCCAGAGGAAGTTCGGACCGCCCCCAGACTGCAAAGGCTTCGTACCACCGAAAGGCTGCGAAGTCTTCATTGGGAAGCTGCCCAGGGAGATCTATGAGGATGAACTAGTCCCGATCTTCTCTAAAATTGGCAAGATATATGAGATGCGATTAATGATGGACTTCTCCGGTTCCAACCGAGGGTATGCTTTTGTGAATTACATGAGGAAGGAGGATGCCGATGAAGCGGTCAGGAAATTGAATGGATTCGAGATCAGACCCCTGCGAAAAATCGGTGTCGTTAAATCTGTGGATAATTGTCGCCTATTCATAGGCGGTATACCGAAGACTAAATCGAAGGCCGAAGTATTTGAAGAACTTACGAAGCGGGTGCCCGGGATCGTCGACGTGATACTGTACAAGAATTGTTTTGATAAACGGCTTAACAGAGGTTTCGCTTTTGCTGAATTTGAAACGCACAGAGCCGCCGCTATGGCAAGACGATCTCTCATACCGGGGTGCGTAAAACTTTGGGATCATGATGTGATGGTTGATTGGGCGGAACCCGAACCTTCTATTGAGGAAGACTTAATGAAAACGGTGAGTTTTAATTTTTCTATCTGCGTAATTTAAAGTTCTTGAATTTCAATCGTTAAAGTTCGCCGTAATTTAAAGTAAACAGTTGTCGCGAGCCTTTGTTTATAACACTTGATATTGTTTAGGTTTATCGTTTAGTTTTATCTGTTAGTACAATGAGTACATTTTACTTGCAGGTAAAAGTCCTGTATGCCCGCAATTTTCAGATACGCACAACGCCAGAAACTATACAAACGGTGTTTGAGACTGCTATAGATAACAAAGTCGAGAGAGTAAAAAAGATATATGATTATGCTTTCATTCATTTCTATCAACGTTCTCATGCTGAGCTTGCTATGACGAAATTGCAGAATACAGAAATCGATGGTAGCAATATTGAGATAAAATGGGCTAAGCCTGTAGATAGGGATTTGTATAGGATACAGAAACAGACTAAAGGCAATGCTAAGTTTAACAACAGTCTTGGCCTTTCTCAAACACTTATGCTCTATAAACAGCATGTGGAGAAACGAGCATATGAGGATACACACAAGGAGGATGAAGGCATTGGCTCTGCTTGTGCCGGGGAGTCCTGTTGCTCTCCCATGGGCGGTTGTCAGTATGTGGCACCACAAGAAAACACTTACACATTGGCTCCAGCTAAGCTTGATGCCTTGTGCAAAAGGTAAATTGCTCTATTTAACAAAAAATATTACTATTATAAGTCTGATATATAAAACTAAAGTGTGTATTGTCTTCCAGGTACATGTGGATGCCACCAGTATACACATATCAGAAGTATCTAGATGCTGCAGGTGCTGAGGTCTGGGTGTCCTGTGTTGAATTGCCTGAAGTAGGCCAGCCATTGTCAATTGTGCCTCGGAAAATTGGACCATTGGTGACCAGACCTTGCTACTCTTTCCAGCAAGCATATGTTCAAGCTGCAGAGTTGGCACTACAGACTATTAAGGTTAGTTCAGTACCCTCTTCATTTATTTCTAGTCCTTTTTATCTATAATTATTTTGTTCTATTTTCAACATATGGTTAATTGTTCTGTTATTTTTCACAGATCTTGCATTCGGATGTTACTCAGCAGTCTGCCCCGCCTACAATCCAGCCGGCCTACACATCCGTCCTGTCCCCAATCCCAAACTGCATGGGATACAGATATGAGTATGCAAACCCCATATACCATAGACAACCAATGTCTGTTGCTCTGCCACCTGTCTGGAGATCTAATATTTTGTAAATCAACTTAAAATAAATTTCCAAAAACACCTGAGAGACAAAATAATTAAATGCAATGCTGTATTGCATTAAATTATTTACTTACAATCTGTTGACTGATCCAGTATTTCGAATTTTAATATATTGTAATAAGTATATAATAATTGACCAATTTAAATTAACATAGTACAATTCTGTTATTGTATTACATAATTTTATAATTTAAAAATTGTTAAATTCTATAATCTGTTGAAACTAGTATTAAAATAAGTAGTAAGTGACTTCAGTATATTGATGAAGAGTGACTTCAATTTGTAATGAGTATTTTGACCAAAAAATAGTATATTTTTATCACTAAATCAAAATAGGCTTAATGACAGTTATTTTTCAAACATGGTTACATTGAAGATAGTTAGGTTAATTTTTATTTTAGTATTGTACTTCCAAACAAGATTTTACATATGTAAAACTGCCCTCTGTAGTGCTTCCTTGTGCTTATACTGTGTATATTCAGAGAGAAGTCCTATAATAATCATTTCTACTGTTCGTTATTTTTTGTGACCTTTGTTAATCGCTAATAAATAAATATAAAACGCAAGTGCTTGTTTTTTCTTAAATATTTAGTTAATTCAAACAGATACTACTAATCTCTAAAAGAAACTGATCTCTGAAATTTCGCATTTATGCAGAACTTCGTATAGAATAAAACGTCAAACCAAAAATTGTGGTGTGGACAAAAAAAAAAATTTGTACAATAATAGATGCACTAAACCAGCCCTGTATGTTTACTCAACTAATTCAACGTAAATGTTTTTTGTATTCAACCTGTTTTCCATGAGTATGGGGATTCCCCGTCCAATTAGGTATGCAAAACGCAAAGGCGTGATTGCCTCGTATATAAATGGATCTCTTTAGATGAACAAATCAAAACGGTACTGATTTTAGAATCTAGACGACATGTGGTCTCCTGTAGCGATTTTAATTTTATTTATTGTCCCATTTATTGCTGTTTCTAAAAGTACAGGTAAGTTTCTGTATTTATACTGGCTACGGATGTAAATAAAAATGATATATTTGATTATGTACTCAATAACTATACTTATGTCACCAAGAAATTGGAAAGGTTACTTCATTTGCCGGAGTCCTTAAGCTCGAGTATTCGTATCCACAAGAGATTTTTTAATTAAGGTTAAATGTTACAGGTCATGTTTGTAGTCAAAATGAAGTTTATAGAAATAATGTGAAAAGCTGTCCTCCTGAAACATGTTTTTCGTTAGTTGCTAAATTTAAATGTGACTCAAGCGAACAAGGACGCGCCGGATGCGCTTGTGTTGATGGTTATTTAAGAAAGGATGTGAATTCTCCGTGTATGCCTATAAAATATTGTCCAGAATTGGCTAATTCCCCAGATTTTAATTAGAGGTAATTTTATTAGTCGCTGTATCTATTAAATTACATATTTAACTCTTGAAGAAAGCTCTCGCATTGTTTACTATTTATGTTACTGTGCCTGGAAATAAACGTCTTGTAATGAACATGTTTGTTTTAATAAAAATTTGCAGATTTCATTGTCAGGTGTTACATTAGCAAGAGGGCGCTGATCTTGGTTTTGAAGTTCAAGCAAGCATTTTTATATTATTTGATATAATGTTTGAATTTAAATAAAATAAAAAAAATACTTAATGTTAATTAAGATTGACAATAAAAAGGCATCTATGATATAATCTTTTCTAAAACTGTTATTTGTCACTGTCATTCGGCTGTAAGTGTCGCAACAATATGTCAACTTGTAAATGTCCATGTATTTAAACTGAGTTTTTGTTAAATTGAAATTAATTGAATTAAAAGGACAATAATACATTTACAACAATATAGGTATATGTAAGGATACAAGAAGGAATATGTTAGGACAAAAGATGATATATGTTTAAAAATACATAAACTTATAAGTGAACTTTTAATTTACTGTTGTGAACATTTATTTTATCAAAAATATATAAAATGTTGCGACGTAAACTTATAAATTCTATTGATTTAATCAATGGAATAAGAAATATACAAAGATTGACTTCGGGTCGTTTGCTAACCTGTAAACTAAAACATACCCTTATTGCAAAGAAAAGTGAAATTAATATTGAAAAAGAGATTAAAAAATTGCAAGATATCAACTCCTTCACATACAGAACTCATACGTGCGGTGAGCTACGTCCAATACATAATGGAGAAAGTGTAACACTTTGTGGTTGGGTACAATATCAACGAATGTCTAAATTTCTACTACTACGCGACTCCTATGGTGTAGTGCAGTGTATAGTTAACAATAATCAAATTAACTTCAATGATATACCTCTAGAATCTATAGTTAAAATAAATGGTACTGTTTCTTTAAGACCCACTAATATGATAAATAGTAAAATGAGTACTGGTGAAATAGAGGTCCTCATAGATAAGTTAGAAGTATTAAATGTAGCTGATAAAGTACCGTTTAATTTAAGAGACCACCAAAAACCTAAAGAACAACTTAGAATGCAGCATCGTTACTTAGACATAAGATTTCCTGACATGCAAAAGAAACTACGGACAAGGTCTTCAATGTTGCATAATATGAGGAAATTTCTTATTGAGACTAATGGCTTTGTAGAAGTTGAAACACCAACACTGTTCTGTCGGACTCCAGGTGGGGCTAGAGAATTTGTTGTTCCCACCCACTATCCAGGATTATTTTATTCTTTAGTTCAAAGTCCACAACAGTTCAAACAAATGTTGATGGCCGGTGGTGTTGATAGGTACTTCCAAGTTGCTAGATGTTATAGAGACGAAACAACAAGGCCAGACAGACAACCTGAGTTTACACAGCTTGATATAGAAATGTCCTTTTCAAATTTAGATCACATTATTACAATGATTGAGCAGTTACTTTATAAAACATTTACAAAACAACTACCAAATCCACCTTTTAAAAGAATTACATATGCAAAAGCTATAGAAAACTATGGTACTGATAAGCCGGACATAAGTTATGATTTAAGATTTAAAAATGTATCACACTTATTCAGTACCGATGATGAAACAACACTAAGTGCTTTTGTTTTACCATATCCTGCTGAATTAGGTAAATTAACTGCAAAATACAAGGATAAAATTAAAGAATTAAAACAGAAAAATAATGTAAGAGTTATATTAAATGAAAATGTTAGTAAAGAGCTATCTAATGACATGAAATGTCACATCCACAGTATTGTAGGAGAGAAAAAAGCTTTTATTCTAGCACTGGGTGACAGAGAAAATGTATGTACTTGTCTCGGTGAAATAAGACAACAAATAGCAGTATTATTACAATCTAGACAATTAATAGAAATTAACAAGGATATAGAGCCGTTATGGATTGTGGATTTCCCATTATTTACACAGGGTGATAATGGCTTGGAAACTTGTCACCATCCTTTCACAGCACCTCATCCTGATGACTTACACATGTTGGAATCTGAGCCTTTTAAAGTTAGATCACTTGCTTATGATATTGTTATGAATGGTAATGAAATTGGCGGGGGGTCAGTGAGAGTACATAATGCAGATCTTCAAGAAAAGCTTTTGCAAATGCTAAATATAGATGCGAGTAAATTAATGCATTTTATAAATGCATTACGGAGTGGTTGTCCACCGCATGCAGGGATTGCGTTAGGCATTGATCGTTTGATGACAATAGCTTGTGATGCAGACTCAATCAGGGATGTTATAGCATTTCCTAAGTCTCATGAAGGCAAAGATCCTTTGTCTGGTGCACCTAATTTTATTACCGAAGATGATAAAAAATATTATCATATAAATATTATTAAGTAATATTGATTAATAAAATGTGACAAGTATATGTAAATGTAACAATGTAAATAGATATAATAAATTATTTTTTAACTATTTAATGACTTTTGTTTAATTGGATTGACATACATACAAACTCATATACTTAATATATGCACTAGACATTATCTTCCCGTTTTAGTTGGGTAAAAAAGAACACGATAACATCTGTATAATTAGTTAAAACTATTGTTACAATTAAAGAACACTGATAAGAAAATTAGTTAAATAGATGAGTGTCCTAACCAAAGGTAGCTACTTCTGTCACATTGTTTTATGACGATATTCCTATACTTTATGAAATATTTTTTTCGACTGACGGGAGTTATAGACATACATTAAAGGTCAGAAGGGTGATGTAGATCAAGTTAGACGTTTCGGCTATCTTTTGTTTTTACCTTTTTTATTTTAGTTTTGGTTTATTAAAACAATTTAGTAACATGCCATATTGTTCCTTGCAAACTCATCTGACAAATTGTGTTTTTTTATATGAATGCTGTAGAACTTGCTCAATATTCCAACCGATTACCGATACTTAATGTTTACCGGTTGTCTGTTTACATTATTTTTTTCAAACGCTTATATTTATAAAAAGTTAACGATTTCCGTTTTAAAATTAGCCACTTATTCTGTATGATTAAAGTATTAAATGGTAAAAAAATGTAATTGTTTTTGACACTATTGTTAACACGTTCCATGCCACTACGGTTTTTTCGTATGTAAGTCAACTCTCCAAGCCAGTCGGTAGCAGTGCACGTGTTATGATTACGCAGTGGACGCCGTGGACGGTAGTCTTCTTCTTATATGAGCCATCAATTGAACTTAAACTTTGAAATAATTTTTAGTCGAAGCATGCTGATTTTTTTGCGAGAATTATTTCTTTTACTCACGTCCATAACTGCGAGGGATAAGAGATTTTGTTTATCCACAGCATTATATTAACTCAATTCAATGTATTATTTGGATTTATAATAATTTCTTTATTTCACTATCGTGAAGTCTATAAACAGAACCAGTTAAACATTTTATGCAATGTAATAAATTATGATACCCTAGAAAATACTAATACCAAGTAATAAGATAATTTTAACTGGATAATACCTAATTAGCGTAAATAAAATAACGCTAAAAATGTATAAAAGTTGTGCCAAAAGTAGACGACGCTATTTTTTACTTAAAATGTCGAAGAGGCTAGTACTTATATTATCAATAGCGAGTTTATTAAAAATCGGTAAGAAACGTACATATTACAAAAATTATGTAACCTTTAAAACATTACGGTTAAATATTTTAGGACAAAATAAATAACGTAAAAGGTTAATACAGATCATACTACAAATAATACATAGATAATATAATACCAGGGATTCAAAAATAAACAGTTCATTTAGAGTTTTTCTAATAAATCTAAAAGTAATGTACATATTTAATTTTCATGATTTTCATTGATTTCATTCATAATTTGATTTTCACATATATGAAGAACTAAATTGTTTAACAGTACAGTTAAATAGTAAAGTTAAAAACAGTTAAGTAGTAAACTTTTAAGTAATAAGATTTTTGTAACATTCTTTGTAGTAACGCCTATTTTTTTCCGATAGCTATTGAATTTTATTTAGAATATTTGATTATACGTTTAGTTTCGATTTTAAGTTTAGCTTATTATTTCTCATTTCACGTCTATGACGTTAATCGTCAGTTTCTGAGACCAAAACTCCAGTTTAAAACAAATTGTTATCTCTGTCAGCGAAAAAAAAAACAGGAACGACGATATATTTTATACAGAGCTTTTGGAATCAGAAGCCCATGGTTAGACATTGATTTAATAAGGCTGATTAAATTGACATCATTGGCCGCGTGCTCTGTGGTCTTACTTTGTACAAGCAATTTTTTTAACATCCTGTACAATGTCAATTTATTTATTTTTATTTATTTTTCAGTTTCTGCCGGCGTCCTGAACATAAATGGATCTATTGGTTTGTCCATAGGAAGCGAAGGTAGTCAGGGACCGATTGAAATCATAGCAGCTAAGATTTCAAGCTTGAAAAATAAGTTATTAAATCTAGGAAGCATTTTTAGTGGTGGAAGAATTCCTTCTTTATTTAAAACAACTTCGTCTCCTATCACTCCTACGACTAAAAATGTGGAAACATCTAAAATCACTGTAGCACCTACAACTGGATATCCGGACACTTCTTGGATACACATGGTGCTCACTAGAAATAGGTCAGGCACATTAGAAAATACTCGATCAGCGACCAATACTACTGCTTCTGAGGCAACTGAAAAACCAACAGCCAAGACTACTGAGGCAAATGAAACACCTACAACCATAGCTACTGAGGGAACCAAAACACCTACAACTATTTCTACTGAAGGAACCAAGGTGCCACAAGCACCCAAAACTGAAGATCCTAAAACTTCCGAGACAACCGAAGGACCAAAAGCTAACGCTTCTGAGGCAACAGAAGCATCTACGACTATAGCAACTGAAGCTACTGAGACAACCGAGACTCCTACAACTAAAGCTACCGAGGCATCTACAACTGAAGCTATTACAACTTCTGAGGCAACAGAAGCATCTACGGCTGTAGCAACTGAAGTTACTGAGACAACCGAGACTCCTACAACTAAAGCTACCGAGGCATCTACGACTGAATCTATTACTACTTCTGAGGTAACAGAAACATCTACAACTATAGCAACTGAAGCTACTGAGACAACCGAGACAACTACAACTAAAGCTACCGAGGCATCTACAACTGAAGCTATTACAACTTCTGAGGCAACAGAAGCATCTACGACTATAGGAACTGAAGCTACTGAGACAACCGAGACTCCTACAACTGAATCAACTGAGACAACCGAGACTCCTACAACTAAAGCTACCGAGGAATCTGCGACTGAAGCTATTACAACTTCTGAGGCAACAGAAGCATCTACAACTATAGCAACTGAAGCTACTGAGACAATCGAGACACCTACAACTACAGCTACCGAGGCATCTATAACTGAAGCTATTACAACTTCTGAGGCAACAGAAGCATCTACGACTGTAGCAACTGAAGCAACTGAGACAACCGAGACACCTACAACTAAAGCTACCGAGGAATCCACAACTGAAGCTATTACAACTTCTGAGGCAACAGAAGCTACTACGACTGTAGCAACTGAAGCTACTGAGACAACCGAGACTCCTACAACTGAATCAATTGAGACAACCGAGACACCTACAACTAAAGCTACCGAGGCATCTACAACTGAAGCTATTACAACTTCTCAGGCAACAGAAGCATCTACAACTTTAGCAACTGAAGCTACTGAGACAATCGAGACACCTACAACTAAAGCTACCGAGGAATCCACAACTGAAGCTATTACAACTTCTCAGGCAACAGAAGCTACTACGACTGTAGCAACTGAAGCTACTGAGACAACCGAGACTCCTACAACTGAATCAATTGAGACAACCGAGACACCTACAACTAAAGCTACCGAGGCATCTACGACTGAAGCTATCACTACTTCTGAGGCAACAGAAGCTTCTTCGACTGTAGAAACTGAAGCTACCGAGACAACCGAGAATCCTACAACTAAAGCAACCGAGGCATCTACAACTGAAGCTATTACAACTTCTGAGGCAACAGAAGCATCTACAACTATAGCAACTGAAGCTACTGAGACAACAGAGACACCTACAACTAAAGCTACCGAGGCATCTACAACTGAAGCTATTACAACTTCTCAGGCAACAGAAGCATCTACAACTTTAGCAACTGAAGCTACTGAGACAACCGAGACACCTACAACTAAAGCTACCGAGGCATCTACATCTGAAGCTATTACAACTTCTGAGGCAACAGAAGCATCTACGACTGTAGCAACTGAAGCTACTGAGACAACCGAGACTCCTACAACTGAATCAACTGAGACAACCGAGACTCCTACAACTAAAGCTGCCGAGGCATCAACGACTGAAGCTATCACTACTTCCGAGGCAACAGAAGCTTCTTCGACTATAGCAATTGAAGCTACTGATACAACCGAGACACCTACAACTAAAGCTACCGAGGCATCTACAACTGAAGCTATTACAACTTCTGAGGCAACAGAAGCATCTACGACTGTAGCAAATGAAGCTACTGAGACAACCGAGACTCCTACAACTGAATCAACTGAGACAACCGAGACACCTACAACTAAAGCTACCGAGGCATCTACAACTGAAGCTACTACAACCTCTGAGGCAACAGAAGCATCTACGACTGTAGCAACTGAAGCTACTGAGACAACCGAGACTCCTACAACTGAATCAACTGACACAACCGAGACTCCTACAACTAAAGCTACCGAGGCATCTACGACTGAAGCTATTACAACTTCTGAGGCAACAGAAGCATCTACAACTATAGCAACTGAAGCTACTAAGACAACCGAGACACCTACAACTAAAGCTACCGAGGCATCTACGACTGAAGCTATCACTACTTCTGAGGCAACAGAAGCTTCTTCGACTATAGCAATTGAAGCTACTAATACAACCGACACTCCTATAACTGAAGCTACTGAGACAACCGAGACTTCTACAACTAAAGCTACCGAGGCGTCTACAACTGAAGCTATTACAAATTCTGAGGCAACAGAAGCATCTACGACTGTAGCAACTGAAGCTACTGAGACAACCGAGACTCCTACAACTGAATCAACTGACACAACAGAGACTCCTACAACTAAAGCTACCGAGGCATCTACGACTGAAGCTATTACATATTCTGAGGCAACAGAAGCATCTACGACTGTAGCAACTGAAGCTACTGAGACAACCGAGACTCCTACAACTGAATCAACTGACACAACCGAGACTCCTACAACTAAAGCTACCGAGGCATCTACGACTGAAGCTATTACAACTTCTGAGGCAACAGAAGAATCTACGACTATAGAAACTGAAGCTACTGAGACAACCGAGACTCCTACAACTAAAGCAACCGAGGCATCTACAACTGAAGCTATTACAACTTCTGAGGCAACAGAAGCATCTACAACTAAAGCAACTGAAGCTACTGAGACAACCGAGACACCTACAACTAAAGTTACCGAGGCATCTACAACTGAAGCTATTACAACTTCTGAGGCAACAGAAGCATCTACGACTGTAGCAAATGAAGCTACTGAGACAACCGAGACTCCTACAACTAAAGCTACCGAGGCATCTACAACTGAAGCTATTACAACTTCTGAGGCAATAGAAGCATCTACGACTGTAGCAACTGAAGCTACTGAGAAAACCGAGACTCCTACAACTGAATCAACTAACACAACCGAGACTCCTACAACTAAAGCTACCGAGGCATCTACGACTGAAGCTATTACAACTTCTGAGGCAACAGAAGCATCTACAACTATAGCAACTGAAGCTACTAAGAGAACCGAGACACCTACAACTAAAGCTACCG